TGTGGTCTCGTTTGTATGTGAGACACATCTTGGTGTTGTGATATATGAAATGATGTGTTAGTACATATCCTGTGAGTAGAAACAGAAAAGTGTGCGTGTGAACGTTTCATTGTAGTTTTAATTGCTGCAAGCAAACTGTACATACATTCCCTTGTTATTTCAATTTGTTTCAGTGTGCATTTACGTTTATTTTTTGCTGATTGTTCATTTTGGGGAGCCTTTGTTATTTTAAATGCGAAGCATTACTGAGTGAAATTCGGCAACATTGAATGTATATCTATCTATCTATCTATCTATCTATCTATCTATCTATCTATCTATCTATCTATCTATCTATCTATCTATCTATCTATCTATCTATCTATCTATCTATCTATCTATCTATCTATCTATCTATCTATCTATCTATCTATCTATCTATCTATCTATCTATCTATCTATCTATCTATCTATCTATCTATCTATCTATCTATCTATCTATCTATCTATCTATCTATCTATCTATCTATCTACGACATTTAGCTCTCCTGGCCGTTTCGTAATGATGCCCACGTGAGAAGTGGGCTCCAGCGTTGCCAGCAGTGGAGAGGGTGAAGCGAGAGGGAGCTGACACGTGGTGAGCACGTGGCAGGCGAGGGAGAGATACGTCAGTGCGCACTGCAAGCAGAGCGTGAGCTACTTGGCACCACTTCAACACTTGTGGCGAGGGGGAGTGGTGCGGACGGAGGAACATCGTTACACAGGTAACGCTGCTTCGCATCTAAAAGCACAATAGGGCTTTCGCTACACTGTGGCCGATTATTCATTTGCTGATCATCCATTTGCCGTGGTGCGTTGGCAAGCATTTCTCTCTCCGTGGCAAAACGAGGGCAGTGGTACGGCAAGTGTGCTATGTTTTCGTCGGTGCCTCAAACATCACATGTGTGATGGGATATGTCAAAGTTGTGAAATGTCACAATAATGACAGCCCTGTGGCTACCGCTAATTGTAGTGTACGAAATACTGCAGTGTATATCACTGAGGGGGGGCACAAATCAACGTCGTCATCATCAACCTGACAGCACCCACTGCAGGACAAAGGCCTCTACCATGTTACGCCAGTCTACTCGGTCCGGTGCTTGCTGCTTCCACTTTATACCCGCAAACTTGCTAATCTCATCTGCTCCCTTAACTTTCTGTCTGATCTTCACCCGCTTTCATCCTCTCAGAATCCAGTTTCTGACCCTTAATGACATGTGGTTACTTTGCCTTCACGCTACGTGTTCCTGCCCATGACGATTTCTTAGTCTTGGTATAAACTATGATATCCTTATAACCAGTTTGTTTCCTGATACCCTCTGCTCTCTTATTCTTCCTTAGGGTCACATCTATAATTTTCCTTTCCATTGCTCGTTGCGTCGTCCTCAACTTAAGTTGAACTCTCTTTGTATTTCTCCAAGTTTGTGCTCCGTAGGTAAGTACCGGTTAGATGCAGCTGCTATACACCTACCTCTTGAGGGATAGTGGCTATCTATTGTTCATTATTTGAGAATTTTTGCCGAATGTCTCCCACCCTATTATTATTATTCTAGTTATTTTAATCTCGTGGTTCAGCTCCGCGGTTACTATACCTGTTCTCAGTGGACATACTCTTTTCCAACTTCAAGTGCACTGGTATACCTATCTCGAAGTGCTATTCTCTTTCGAAATTTTTGCACATTACCTTCGTTTTCTGCAGATTTTCGGCAGAAAACGAAAACGATTTTCTGCAGAAACAATTTTCTGCAAAATTTTATGGCCTACCTTTCTGCTCTCTTTACATATTTCAGTAATCATGAGTTGCAATTAATTCCCAAAGTTACTCAGCAATCCAATGTCATCAGCTAAGCGCAGGTTACTAAGGTACTCTTTATTAACTCTTTTCCCTAACTCTTCCAATTCTCGCCCTCTGAAAACCTCCTGTAAGCACGCGGTCAATTGCATTGGGGAGATTGTATCGCCTTGTATTACACCCTGTTTGATTGGTATTCTGTCACTTTCCTTACGGAGCACAAGGTGGCCATTGATCCGCTGTAGATTTTTTCCAGGATGTTTATATAGGCTTCGTCGCGACGCCATAATTCCGTAGTGTCTGCCTGACTTCTGATATATATATACTGATTCAAATGCCTTCTCGCAATCTATGAAGGTTGTGTAGAGTGGTTGTGTGTATTCTAGGCATTTCTCTATACCCTGGTTGCTAGTATGAATGTGGTACTAAATATATATGAGTTGTGAACTCATCTTTATTGAATAGAATAGTCAGTGCTTCAACGACAGGGTCAAATAGAAGAATAAGGATGCCAGGAAGTGCCAGGTAGCCACTTGGCGGAAAATAGCAAAAAATATAGATGTACTTTTTATTTAATAATACCACTTTTCTTAAGAAAATCAGTATAAAAACAAAACGCGACACTGTTTAGGCTCACTTGATAAAGAAAGAAGGTGGGAAGTGTGTCAGTTGCACATATTTGGAGTTCAAATAAAATGAAAGGGCTTCTCTTTTGACGCACTCTGAATTGATACACCATAGATTTCATTTCAAGTTTTCATGTTTGAAGATTGACTCACAGAATCTTTTGAGTAATAATGTCCGCATATGCGCTTGATGCGCGGAATTGCACGTTGTCTGTTTCAAAAACGCCAGTTGCAAGTAAAGCGTCAGTACTGTTGTATGTGTTTCGTCCACGTCGTTCGCGCTTGTCAAAGATCTCCTATTGATTACGACGCTTGCGATTGCGTAAACGAGTAGCCGTGCGGCAGCAGGTCGCTTCTGAGCGCATTGCCGAGAATATATCTGGTGGCACAATCCTTCCAGAGCCCTTGTCACACTCGAGGGGGCTCATTCTCGACAAAGCTGACGAAAGCTAGCTTTCATTGCGAGCAATGCCACTCATGACAAGGATCGGAAGAGAGGATCCACACGACAGCTTATTGATCGCAGCGCTGGTCTTAGTGGTCGAGTGTTTGCCTTGGATCAGGGCAGCAGATGTGCAATGCCTTAACGTCCACGGGCAAATGAAGTGCAATAATAAGAGAAACTTCTGACGTGATGCGTAAAATAGAAACTATCAAAAAAGTCAAGCCCGAGTGCGCGCTACCAACATTTACACATAAAAACAAAAAGCCATTATGTAATTATTACAATGACTTTGCCCCAAACCAAGCCCTCTCTCTGCCAGCACTAAGACGGAGTGCGCATGCCATCTTAAGAAAAATTGCTACACTGAGGATAGTTCACCCTTGCACTGCTACAAAAGCAATCGGTAAAAAAGAGTTGGCACCTTTCAGCGCAAAATAAGAAGACAAAATAAAGACAGCTTCACCCTAGTGGTAGCATGCCTGAAGAAGGGCGGATTTGGGCGAGCTTTTTTGTTTTATTCACTTTTCTATTTCTTTCTTTTCATAATTTTCAGCTGCTACAGTCTTTTTTCTCTTCATTTCTTTTTATTTCTCTTTTATTCCTCCTTTTCTTCCTTCTCTTTTGCTATTCCTCTCTTGCTTTGTTTCTATCAATTTTTACGTGTTTTTCCTATAACTGTCCAGCCCCCAAAAGTGCTTTGCACCTAAAAAGGTAATGAAGCTGCTGAGAGGCACAAGATCGAATTAGCACGTAATAGTTCGTATAAATCCTAGTCTGTTAAAAAAAACTTAAGTGCACAATAAGACGGTTGGTATGTGATCACAAAGCGCAACTTAGCGAATATACGAAGACTGAATTCCGGTCGAACATGGTCGCATGACCGGCATTTAACTTACGCCTTCTCACTTGCAAACCAGATATTTAAACCATCGCAGCACGAAAATAAAGCGAAAGTGATAGCATTCTAGTAACTTAACTAGACACTCCGAGACAATTAGACGCGCTCTATTGCGCGTGTGACTTGGACGACTACTGACAATTTTCTCTGAAGCTTTCGTAGGTTTATATTAACGGGCTCACAACCTAACGGGCTGTAGAAAAAAAAACGAAAGGTCGCAACGCAGATTTGTCGTGACACCTTCAGATTGCTCAGCAAACGGGAATGGAGATTTTAACGCCTGAAGTTTTCCGATTACGCGTGTTCCGCAAGACTTAAGATGCGTTTACGGTCTAAGTAAGCAACATAAACATCTCCAAACTTCAGCCAGATAAGACTCAGCGTGCAACAATTACACTAGCGATAGGTCACTGAATTGTTGAATGCCTTCCATTTTGTGTCACAAATGAAGGCGTTCTGGCTGAATACTGCTGGTTAAAGATGACTATATAGCGGCTGGCATTCGAATAATTGCAGCAATAGGGAGGAGCACGAACAAAAAGGCTTTTTTGTTTGTGCTGCGTAACTCATGTCGCGAAAACAATAACCTAAAACACTGTTTTAAAGAAACTCGAGCACGTGATAATATATGCACACAGAAAAAAGTATATGTCAAAATATTGAGAATCGCGCGCACGTATACTGAAGTGCGTAAGTGCCTTCTGTCGGATGGAACGCCATTACTCTGGAGCGACAGCCATTTTGTCTCGTGCACTATCGTTGCGGCGGCTGCATTTTAGATGGAGGCATAAATGCTGTTGACGCATGTGCTCATAATTGGGTGCACCCTAAAGAACCACAGGTGGTCAAAATTTCCGTAGCCCTCCACTTCGGCGTCTCTCATAATCATATGGTGGTTTTGGGACGTTAAATCCTACATATCAATCAATCAATCGTACGCTATTGAAGGTGAAGTTCATTTTTTTCTTGTCTTTTTTTTTCAACCACCAGTGTGTGCTGAAAGGGCTGCACATATACACATTTTGAAAGTGAGCTCCCTCGGCGCCGCCATAGTTCTTTTTGGATTGCGCCAATTGGCGCGACCCCCAAGAAATGCACTGCCGAAGACGTGACTTCAGCCTTTGTACTTTCGCGCGCAGCCCATCATGGCGGCGTTTTTTTCCCCCTTCCTGCGAAAGGGTGCATAGAACGTGGCACGCATAGAACGTAAACGTAGCTTACCGAGACACTTAGGCAGCGGGCTGGACCAGTTGCCGGTGTCAAGACAAATGCTGGTGTTGGACTCGCCCTGGAACTTCATGCCGTCGAAGCAGTTGTAGGTGGCCTTGGCGTTGAGCGTCGAGGAGCGGAACTCCACGTAACCGTTGTGCAGGTGCCCAGGATGGCCGCAGTCAATCTCTGCGGGAACGCGAGTAGGTGTTCCTTTGATTTTGCATGAAGTCTATAAGTCTTCAGCCAGGTGGAACTCAGTCATCTCTGGCACCTTGAATAGCGTTTGCCTCCCATGAAAATAAGCTGAAGACCAACTAGATGCAGATACCTTGTAATCAGCCAACGTAAACACTTATTGTTGCAACATTAGAGCCAGAAGCCCGCTAGAATCCAGACGCGAACATCATACTTTGATCAGTGGACGCTTAATCCGTTGGTCGCATTTAATGGCCCTGCGCTAATTTTAGGGCACACAGAATGCGTAGAAAGTGGTGATGGTGGTGACAAATAGAATTTCGTCCGACTGCTGTTGCTCAGCTGTTATGGCATTGTGAGGTTGAATATCGGCCACAGCTGCCGCGTTCTTGTATCGTTGTAAACATGCTTTTTCGTTGCGCACTTAATATGCAGCAACCTTCCTGTTCTGAACATATATTTCCTCGAATTAGCGAAGGCCATAAGAAGTAATTTGTAGCCTTATTCCTGCAGAGTTCATAGCAGCTCATAGGGCAGCTTTCGAATACAAAGACAGAAACTGTTTTGATACAATTTGACGCACGCTTCAGATGGGTAGAGCTGTGGTGCCTCCTTTGCATCAATGCCACACAATTTATCAGCATAGTTTTAGCGGACAACATGAAGGGGTCAAAAAAAGATTGAGCAAAAGCAAGCTATTTTATTTTTTTGGTATTAAGTTTATGAACACACAGGCGTGTTTCTTCTGAACGCGTATTTTTGAAGGCACATCATGTGCAATGTGATGCGTGTGTGGGTGCTTAAAAAGGCACTGCACTGACCCTGCTATACTCACTGGTTTGTAAAACCTTGAGTATAATTATTGCTCGAATTTCGTCTGAAATATGTTTCGGGAGATTCAAAGAAACGTGTAGAAAAAACAACCACGACATAATGCAACCTTCTCTGCGCGTCATGCAGAGGACGAGAGCGTGAGTTAAGCTGGCTGGTCTCGGCTGCTGTCTATAAAGACGCGTGTTTGATTCAGGTCACGACAGTCGCCATTTGCTGGAGGTGAAGTGTCAGACGCAGTTGATGGCCTTAGGTGCACGTCAAAGAACCGCCGATGCTCGAAATTTCGGGGGCACTCAACTATAGCGCGCCACAATCACATATAGTTACCCCAGCAATCATTACTGGCTAGCTAATAAACCACTTGTGTAGTGGGGAATTCGCAAGGCAATGATAGTGGGACCATCGCTGAGTGCGAAGCGCGAGCACGAGCTGTAGACACTGGACTGCCCGAGCATTTGTTTCTGTACCGGCTGTCTGCCTATTACCTGGCGTCGCTAATAAACCCCCTTGCAAAGTGGTGGAAGTGTGCTGGGTACGCAAACCTGGAACTTCAAAGCCGGAAGCTGCCCACTACATCAGCAATGCCTGATCAGACGACCGAGCAAGGCACCACCCAGCAAAGCACGGCCCAATCTCAACTGGTCATCGTGCCTACCACCCTGCGCCAACGAGATCCGCCCTTCTTCAGTGGCACCGAGGACCAAGATGAGGAGGACTGGTTGCAGCTGTTTGAGAAGGTGAGCGCCGCCAACAAGTGGGACGACCCCTCGAAATTAGAGTATGTCCCATTTTATCTCAAAGACGTCACCAGCCTGTGGTTCACAAACCACCGCACTGAATTTATCACTTGGGCCGGTTTCAAGACCACCCTCGCAGCTGTGTTCGATCGCCCCGCAGTGCGCAAGCTGCGTGCTGAGCAGCGCCTACGCGGACGTGCACAAAGGCAGGGCAAAAACTTCACAAGCTATATTGAAGATGTAATCGATTTATGCCGGCGCTTCAACCCTGAGATGACCGAACATGACAAGATCAGGCATATCTTGAAAGGCATAGACGATGATGCCTATCAAATGTTGCTGGCAAAGAGCCCAAGTACCGTATCCGAACTTGTGACCTTGTGCCAGAGCTTGGAAGAGATTCGGAAACAACGTGCAGCAGTTCGGAGGTCAACGACTGCAGACGACTCTCTCGCTGCCCTGGCCGTCGGTGGTGACAGCTCCCTGCTGGAGCAGATAAAAGAATATGTACGCGAAGAGGTCGCACGACAACTTTCATGTCTCTCGTATCTGCCGACCACCGAAGCACCAACGAACCGCCTAACGCCGACAATAAGACAGGCTATTCAGGAGCAGGTCTCCGAGGCGTTGCCATTACCTACGCCTGCCTCTCAACCAACGCCTGTTGCCGCGCCACTGACTTGTGCGGCCGTCGCGGCAATGCCTCCTGCATCTCATCTGCCAATGTATACGCCACAACCTGTGCGACCGTTCAACGCGCCGTTTCCACAGCAACACGCCGGAAATCCTTGGCGCACCGCTGACAACTGGCCTATATGTTACTTTTGCGGAATTCCAGGTCACGTTGCACGTCTATGTCGTCGGCGCTTCACAGTTAACGCACCAAGATATTCTGACTATTCGTTTCGACCCCCATACCACGCGCCTCACGTACCACCTGAAGTTCACGAACGCGATGCGCAAACTGCTTCCGGCGCCCGAACATTCGCTTCTAGACGTTCTACTTCCCGCTCGCCTTCACCTTCACCAAGTCGTCATTCCGTGTCGCCTATGCGTCGACGACCCACCTCCATTGAGACGGAAAATTAACTGCCGCAGCTCCGGAGGCACGAGCTGCGTCATCGTCTAATCGTTTAAGTCCTCGCCTGTCTCCCGCCAATCTTATCGATGTAATCGTCGAAGGTGTACGAACACTCGCACTCATCGATACCGGTGCCGCGATATCTGTGATTAGTGAGAGACTCTGCCGCTCTCTTCGTAAAGTGACGATGCTTTCTCCCGTAGTTTCTCTTAGTACTGCGAGCGCCCAACAAATTGAGCCCGTCGCGTCATGTACAGCAAAAGTTGTGATTCGAGACGTGTTGTACACCATTGAATTTCACGTGTTGGCTTCATGTTCCCACGATGTCATCCTAGGATGGGATTTTTTATCACGTCATCACACCGTCGTGGACTGCGCTCGGGCCGAAGTGGAGCTGTTACCGTTTGGTGATGCGCCTTCTGTTGATGCGGCCGTATCTAGTGTGGCTAACCTTGTCGTCGCGACGGACATAGACCTTCCTCCTTTCAGCGCCCAGTTTGTCCCTGCCTGCTGTGCTTCACTTTCTGACGCTACCGTCCTATTCACGCCATCTGACATCTTCGGTAGCCGCCACCACACATCGCTGCCATTCGCCGTTCTTGAGCTTTGTCAAGACACTACCGGGATATTTATTTCCAATCCCAACTCGTGCCCCCTCAGTTTGCGCCGCAACGAGACGCTCGGCCACATTCAGCTCATCGATGAAGGTACTATCGTGCCTGCCGATTTCTTCGACACCAAGCCGAATATGGAGCTGAACGCGTTGGTTCCTCACTTTGCCTTGAACAGCGTGTCTACCGACGCATTTCACCATTCTATTGACAGCCATCTCGCCCCGGCTCAACGAGAGCAGCTTGTTACCCTGCTGCACGAATTCAAGCGTTCGTTTGACTTTCCCCAAGCGGTGCTAGGAAGAACGAACACCGTTGTGCACACAATTGACACAGGAAAGAGTACTCCTTTGCGCCAGCGCCCTTATCGTGTGTCACCAGTGGAGCGTCGGGTAATTGCAGAACAAGTAGACGACATGATACAGCGCGGAGTCATCAAGCCTTCTTGTAGTCCTTGGTCTTCCCCAGTTGTACTCGTCAAAAAAAAAAAAGGATGGTTCAGTCCGGTTCTGCGTAGACTACAGGCGCCTAAACAACATTACGAGGAAAGATGTTTACCCTCTTCCCCGCATAGACGACGCTCTCGATTGTCTCCAAGGTGCAGAATTCTTTTCCTCGCTTGACCTTCGCTCGGGTTATCGGCAGGTCCCAATGGCTGAGTCTGATCGTCCAAAAACGGCGTTTGTCACACTGGATGGCCTCTATGAATTTACCGTGATGCCATTCGGACTCTGCAATGCGCCTGCCACATTCGAGCGAATGATGGACAGTATTTTACGTGGTCTCAAATGGAACATTTGCTTGTGCTATCTTGATGACGTTGTGGTTTTTTCACCCGATTTCACTTCGCATCTCACTCGTCTGCGCAAGATTCTACAGTGCCTTACAAACGCCAGGCTTCAGCTTAACCTGAAGAAGTGTCACTTCGGGGCTAAACAACTCACCATACTTGGTCATGTCGTCTCGAAAGCCGGCATTCTTCCCGACCCTGACAAGCTTCGTGCTGTTGCCAAATTTCCTAAGCCGACTACTGTTAAAGAACTACGGAGCTTTGTGGGCCTGTGCTCCTATTTTCGTCGCTTTGTCCGGAACTTTGCCTCCATCATCGCTCCACTCACCAAACTCCTTGCTGGCCCTGCAGATCTTTCGAATTGGACAGCAGCCTGTGACGAATCCTTCGCAACACTGCGCCGACTCCTTACCTCACCACCCGTACTGCGCCATTATGACCCTACTGCGCCAACCGAAGTACACACGGATGCAAGTGGCGTTGGCCTTGGTGCAGTACTCGCGCAACGCAAGCCAGGTTTTACGAAGTATGTGGTCGCCTATGCCAGCCGCGCCCTCACTAAGGCAGAAGCCAACTATTCTGTTACGGAAAAAGAGTGCCTCGCGATTGTGTGGGCGTTAAACAAGTTTCGCCCCTATTTGTACGGCCAAACTTTTGATGTGGTAACTGACAATCACGCACTCTGTTGGTTGGCTTCGCTAAAAGATCCTTCCGGCCGCCTCGGACGTTGGGCACTACGCCTCCAGGAATTCGACATACGCGTCGTCTACCGATCGGGGCGAAAGCACTCTGACGCAGATGCGCTTTCACGATCACCCGTGAAATCCGATGATACGGATATATCAGCCCTGGACCTTCCCCTCTCTGCCGTCAGCGTCACAGACATGCCATCCGAACAGCGCAAGGACCCTTGGATCGCCTCGCTATTGAATATGCTT